GGACATCGAGGAGTCTTTGCCACAGGTAAGTTGGGATCCCTTGGTCCTATTTTACTACAGATGTCACGCTATGTATCTTGAGATTCTTGAAAAAACCCAAAGAATCGACAATGTTTTCGATCTTGACCTGGCATCTCGGCCTTACCACCACCGTAACGTAACTTCTCTGTGCCTTTTCTATAAATGTTTTCATGGTAATTCTTTTAATGAGCTCTCCTTTTTGTTACATCGACTTTACGAAATTAAGTGCAGTACTAGATTGGCAGCTCGAATTCATCATTTATTTAAAGTTGAAATTGGTCAAGTTAATTCTAATGATTTCTTCTGTCGCACTTCTAACCTGTGGGACTCTTCCGGTTTTTTTTACTTTAATGTCAACTGCAATTTTCAAAATTTATATGCAATGTCAATCATCCGTCGTCTTTCTGTTTTCTAAATGCTGTTCTTATAATGAAATTTCTCAACACTGTTTTTTCTTTCACGCTCTAAGACTTAGTAGCTTTATTACTTTGGTTGGGAGTGAAATTGTTTTTTTTTTTTTTAAAGTTATTTTCTAATAGTTTCTTATGTTGTACTTCTCACCAGTGTAACTCTCATCCAGTTTCTTGTTTTCTTGTCAATTCCAATTTCTCATAAATGCAAATGCATCATTAACCTTCGTCTTCTGTCATCTTGAATTCAGTTCTTTTTATTGTTCTTCTCAATAATGTTTTATTTGTTCATTTCACTCTCAGCCACCGCTTGCATCTTAAAGGCTTTATGTACTTGCTTGGGTTGAACAGATTAAGAAAAAAGTTCCGATAAATTTTGTGATAACCATTTCCACACGCGTATTTCTTTCCTATGAAACTCCTTTCCAGCTTCTTGCTTTCCTGTCAACTACAATTTTCAAAAATGTAAATACAATTCCAATCGTCAACTTCTGTCATATTGAGTTCTGTTCTTTTTTATTGTTCTTTCACCTCAGTAACGTTTCTCAGTTTCCTTCCCTCTCAGTAACCCCTTGCGGCTTACTGGCATGATTGCATTGGTTGGTCGTGAAATGATTTAAAAATAAAAAGACTATGTTTTAAAGGATGCAATAAATTGTCGTTTAAATTGCGCAAAAAATGAAAACAACACTGACATCTCATTTTAAGATATATTTACAAAAATTACACAGAAATATCTTGAAATACTAAAAGTATTAAACAGTAAATTTATTCAATAAAATCGCCATTGTCTTCAATCACGACCTGCAGATGACTTCGGAATCTCCCGCAAGTTTTCTTGACGGTTTCCTTGTTTAAATTGGAGAATGCTGCCATAATCGTTACCTTTAGTTCATCTTTGGTATTACAAAGTGTTTTGTTGGTCTCTCGTTCAACTGTGCCTCCATGCATAATAATCAAGGGGGTCTCAAGTCTGGGGAGTTAGGTGGTCAGACATAGCGGGTGATGTGGTCGCAGAAATTGTCTGACAGCCATGACTGCTTGTGTGGTAGGATACAGAGTCCTGTCGCCAGACACAGAACCTTCCAACAGACACCCTTTAGACCTATGGCAGCACTTCCTCCTCGAGGCACTTGATGTAAGCCTCGGTGTGTTGAGTCTGTGGGAAGATGAATGGAGGCATAACGTCACCATTACTAGTGATCACTAGTGATCACTAGTGATCACTCCAAACAGCATAATATTGACTGGATATGTCATCTAACTCTTTCCCAATCCTCTACACTGTCCTCAGATTGACGTATTGGAGCTTTCGGTACGAATGTCAAGCAATACAGTATGCTATTTCCAAATTTCTGGCGGAGTCAATTTCGTCATGGTGCTCTTTTTCTCACAGACGGTGCCCAACTGACCCTACTATATTGTCAAAAAAAAAAATCAAAAAAGCAACGCGCATGCGCGAAATTAAAAATATAAAATAGCGACAATTTACCTATTGCACCCTGTATTTGAATCTTTTTTTTTTCTTTTTCTGTAATATTGCAATTCAGAACAAGCGATAAATATGACAATTACGAAAAAAAATTGGGGGCGTTTCTGAATGACCCGCAGGCCTCAATTTGAACACCGCTGATCTATAATATAAATTATTAAGAATATTGCTCGGAGATAAGAATGTCCTTTCAACCTTTCAACCTGAAAGTCAAAAAGCAATAGAATTCAATCAGGTGACCAAATAACCCTGATAAATTCGGTACCCCTCAATGAATTTGCACGCAAACAATTGCTAAATAATAATAATAATACGATATTCGATTTGCTTCAAGCTCATTGTTGTGGTTTACAGAAAATAAGAGTAAATCTAATGTATAGAATATGACCAACAGAAGTCCTAAAAGTCAGAATATGCTCTTTAAAGGAATGCACATTTACTCTAGTTCCGTTGCCATCATCTATTTAACTAAAGTTTCCCACAGTAGGCATATTATCTGAAGGAATTCGCAACACCGGCTTTTTTATAACAAAGTACACTCAAGGCTCGAGAGGCACTCGATGTAGAAAACTACTTT